CACACACACACACACACACACACACACACACACACACACACACACACACTGTGGCCACATGTCAGGAGTCCAATTGTTTGGCTCCTGGAGCCCTAGTTCATCCATCCATGGGGTTCTCCTTTCTAAAAGGTTCCAGAACCTCCTTTCTTCTGATCCAGACTAAAAACAAAGGCCTGGACATGCTAGCTCCCCCAATGTACACACAGGTGCCAAATACCCATAAGGGCCCAGAACGGCCCGGCAGCAGCTCTTCCAGGAAGCCCAACAGACATCTTAGTGTTTGGGGTTGGGGTAGGGGCCGGAGGAGCCCTCTGAGAAGGGCCTCGGGGGACTTAAGACACTTAGCATCAGAAAAACAGCCCTGATTCAGTATCCCCACGCATGGCCAGAGGCCTGTGAAGGGCTGTCACAGGAACTAGCTGAGGCTTGGGCGGTGTCCTACACCCGAGAGGCAGAGCCAGAGAGAGCTGGCACCGACTCAGGCTCAGTCTCCCCTTGCGAAAGGATCTTGGCCACATGACTTGACCTCTCGAGCCTCAGTTTCCGCACCTACACTGAGGATCACAGTACCACCCCCTCCACTGCATGGGGGGGCCGCAGCAGGCCCACGTCACGCTGGTGCGGGCAGGCTTGAAAGTGCTTCGTCAACATTACAGTGCTGAACAGAGGCCCCACTCCTTCCTCTACTTCCTGGCCTTGCAAGGCTCAGGCTCCTAATCCACAGGAATAATCGCCATGGCGACACCTCGATGACATCAGCTAGTTCCCAGGCTTGGGAACTGCCTCTCCCTCCCTGCTGGGGAAGGATGGCTCCTTTCACTCCTGGCACAGGCCACCCAGAGAGGGCAGGGCCAGGCAGAGTGGCACGTTGCACTCAGCACCACTTGCTGTGTCCCTGGGCCAGCCAGTCCCCCTCCCTCCTGGCTCTGGTGTCTGTGCCATCTTTAAGCACCTGCAGGTCATCACTATGGAGAATCTGGTGGGGAAGGCTCTGAGAGGCTGGGGGTGCTGGAGGGGGTAGTGGAAGTCCAGCATAGGGAGCCAGGACGCAGGGTGGGCTCGGCCTGCAGTCTGTCCTCAGGGCCCTGCTGGCCCCAGGCAGCCTGTATCCTGGCCTGGGACCCCTCACCAGGACATAATGGGGGGGAGGGGAGGAGGTTTCTGCTGAGGAGAGCTGCCCAATGTCCCCAGCCCAGCTGTCACAGGTCAGGAGCCGCTCAGGGCCCCGTCCCAAGGACTCGAGGCAGGGCAGGGCCTGACCCCTCATGCTTACACCCAGAAACTTTATGGGTAGGTTTATTGATTATTCTCCCTGTTCACCTCTTACACCAGTGAAGAAGCTTCAAACACGTTTGTTGGGCAAATGATGAATGAACTGAATGCGGACACATAAGGTCCAAACAGGCAGCATAATTTAGAAAACAACTGCCTTGCTGGCCCAACAAAAGAGGAAAGCTCATGATTTTTATTGAGCAAAATACAGTGACCAACAATTTTTACTTATTATGCGCCTGCAGTGTGCTGTAACTCGCCCCTTGGAACAAAACAGACATCTGTTTTTTAATTAGACACACGGATGGGAGGCAGAGTTAGTGGAAAGGATCAGTGCTGGAAGCAATCAGCAAAAGGTCGCCATGTCCACTCCCCAGCTTCCGCGCACCACTCCTTTCCTTTCCAGGGGACTCGTCGTCGTGGCAAAAATTTATCGAGAGAGCTGACACTACCCCGGAACCTACTCTAAGCGCCTGGTATATACCAACATCCTCGCTTTCCTGACGAAGGCACTGAGGCGCAAAGAAGCTAGATCACGTGCCTGAGGTTGTTCAGCCAGTGGAGAGAGATGAGGGGCTGGACGCTGGGCCAGCTGGCCCAGGTAAGAGCCGCACAGGTGTGCTGCCGGCCCTCTGGCCACAGGATCCAATTAAGAGTGTGGGGCCCCTGCACCCCTGCCCCAGGGCATTACCCACACTGGGTTGGGAGACACAGGGCCACACAGGTGTGATGCTGAGGGGCATGGGAGGGCCTCCCCCGCCTCCTCCCGCTCCCAGCTGCACAGACACACCAGCAGCACTCCCACTCACGCACAGCAAAGCTGTGGCTCTACTCTGCCAGAGGCCTCAGCCAGGCTGGACGGAACCACCCAGAGGGTCATTTCTGGTCAACCCTGTGGTCACCTCCCCCGCAGGGGACAAGACAGGTGTCCCAGAAAACACAGTACAGCTCTGGGAGCCAATCCGGAGACCGGAGAGGCAAGCTTCCGGAGGAGGGCTGAGACCCAAGGGGGCTGGGCCAGGAAGGCGCCTGGGAAGAGAGAGGGTGGGGTGTGGCAGGGGAGCCGCCCACTTCCCCTCCAGCTGGCCACAGAACTCTTAGCCACAGAACTCTTAGCCGCAGAACTCTTAAAGCCCGTAGCCAGCCACAGGCAAGCTCACTCAGTAATTCCTAGACTGAAAGCCCCCCACTTTCAGGCTCTCAAGAGTCTGCTGTCCACACTTTTCCAGGGAGGCCAGTGGCCAGCCTCAGGCCACACAGCCAGTAGGTGGTAGAAGGAATACAGAGCCAGGCTGTGAAAGGCAGCAGGGCCCTTTGATCCCCCCTCTGCCTACCCTGGTCCTCAGGGACCTCAACTGCAGATCAGAGAGGTGTCTTCAGGACCGAGCCCCGCCTCCTCCCGTGGCTGACACCCCTCAAGCAAAGGTGGACTCAGGACAATCTACCCAGGGACTGCCTCCCTGGGACCAAAAGCCCTTATTAGAATGACCAGGGATCAAAATGCATATTCCCGGGCCCCATGCTGCCCACCAGAAGCCCTTTTATGAGGTCTGAGAACTTGCATTTGAACAAGCCCCCCAACAATCAACAGTCCTAAGGTTTGAGGCCTGGATTGGGGGCAACAGCAGGCTGAATGGCCTGAAATCTGCCTCTGTCCCTGGGCTGTGGGCACACGCGGGCCTCTCTAAACCTCCGTGCCCCTCTGTACCATGGAAATACCAACATGCTCTCCCTCATCTGGCGGCCGAGGGGTTTAAATGTGGTCAAGGCCTGAAGAGATCAGACCCTCATCAGTGAGGCCCTGATGATGAGTGACTGCTGAGCAATGCGAGTCCAGGCCCCCAGGAGGTGAGTGGCAAACCAGGGCACCTGGGGGGCAAGGTCAGGCAGAGAAGCCTTCAGGCCCCGTGCGTGGTACCCACCTCCCTCGGGAGGAGCAGAAGTGGCCCCTGGCAGCAGCGACCTGCCATGTCCACCTGCTCCCGGCTCTGGTCCAGTCCTAGACCAGAGGCCAGCTGGGATGCTTCCTTGTCCAGGCCCCGCCTCTCAGGGGTCAGGTTCCCGGGGCAAAAAGAGCTGCGGCTGAGCTTTGGTGGCACACAAAGGCTAGGGACTTGGCCAGGCTTAAGTCTTCCTCCTCAGGGTAGGTGTGTGTCCCTGGCCTCCCCCACGTGTGTGAACACAGCCCAAGTCTTCAAGGGCCTGCGGCTCCCTGTGCCCACCCTGCCTGCAGGTCCCTCTGTGGGATTCCTACCACTCCAGGCTCTGAGTGCCCCTCTCAAGCCGTGAGTTATGTAGCGGTGGCCCCAGTATGTCTGCCTGCCTTGTGAAGCCCCAAGCCCTCTTAGCCCCAGAGAGCCACCTACAGGGCGGAAGTCCAGGGAGGTGTTTGCAGCCTGGCCAGGGTCTGGCCAGAATCTTGCCTGTGCAGGCGAGGCCCCGGCCCCACCCCTCTCAGCCCGGTTCCTGCAGCTGGGCCACTTGGATTCCTCAGTAGGCACAGCTCTGACACCCACAGACATGAGCTGCTGTCCTGGGATAAACCAGTGTCCCCACTTACTCCTACTAGGCCACATGGGCCCCAGGTCTCACTGCCCCGGTCAAGCTCACTGATCCTGAACCCAAGTCGGAACACCCACCGGCCTTACAGTACACGTCAGGAAACAGTCTGCTCCCTGCTCTGATACACCCCCACCCCGCCCCGCCGCGCTCCGCCCCAGCAGGTCAAGGACAAATGAGGTCAAGGAACTTAAAGCACGTGTTAAGCTTTGAAAATTCTCCCCAGCATAAGGAACTATTGTGTTCATTATCTAGGTGGAGATAGCTCTCCCGGGGAGCTGGCTGGAGAAGTAAGAACACAATCCCAGAGCCACAGCAGGCATCACTCAAAGGGACAGCTATTTGCTCTTCCGCGAGAGGACCCGGCCTGGCTTGGCTGCCACGAGGAAGGAGCTAATGTGCCCAGAGCGCAGGTCTGGCACCCTGGCTGCTAACACTGTTGCCAACCGGGGGGCCACGCGATCTGAGCCTGGACACCTCGTCTATGCAATGGGGGAACCAGCCTCTTCCTCGAGGGGTACTGGGAGAACTGAGAGAAAGCCAGCCCTGGACAGCACAGCCGGTCACATGCCCGGCTGGGAGCCAGGTGCCCAGCGTCACATCGTGATCAGCTAGCGGGTGCCCCACACTCCAGGGGGTGGAGAGGTTCCCCTCTGTGGCCCATGCGGATCCTTCAGAGTCTCTTCTTGGGCCTGGCACCGTGCCCACTGGGTTGAGTTTCCCATGATGCAGCCAGGCTTGTCCCCCCCCAAGGCCTCCAAACAGGGTCTTGCTCTGCTCTTAGGGTTCTGGGTCCCTTGCTCATTCCTCCGTGTGCCCCTCACTGCCACGCCCTCTCCCGCCATAGCAGATACTTGAAAAAAATCAGGCCCAAGGAGATGAAGACAGGACAGGCCCCTGCACACGTGGCCTGCTGAGATGGAGTCTGGAGACAAGGCTGTGGAGGGCGGGCTGTGGAGCCTCAGGGTGGCCTGTCCTTCCAGGGCGGTGTGAGTGGAGAGGCGGGGAGAGAAAGAGGAGCAACTTCCTGGAGGAGGCAGACTTTAGCGGGGCCAGAGACTCGGACACCCACACCGCTCTGACCCGCTTTAGTAGGAAGGGGCAAGCTCTCCCCACTCCTTTGATAAAGTCAGGAAATAGGAGGTAGTGGGTGTGGGCATGAGGGGCAGGGCGACAGGGCAAGTGCCAGGATTTCAGCCCTTTGGGCCTGTTAAGTGACCACAGAGGGAAGGAGCCCTTGCCAAATCCGGGGGTTACGACAGCCTCCCTCACGGCCGCGGGCCGCCCTCCCCTCACCTGACTCTGGAGCTCGCTCTGTTGCTTGAGGCGAAGGTTTTCCGGGGTGTCGGCCACCATGGTGAAGGACTGCTTAGGGTAGTGTCTGCAGGACAGAAAACAGTGGGGGTCACTCCGGGGGAAGGAAGGGTGAGCCAGGCTTTCGCAGACCTGACGCTTTTCCTGGCAAGTTCCTTGAAGCCTTGAGCAGCTCCTGCCTAGCAGCAGGACTGGGGTGTCCCTCACCCATGGTCAAAGGAGGATGAATGTTTTCTCAGACTCACCTGGGCTAGACAAGAAAGACATATCAGCCCTGCGTACGCAAAGGGAGGCCATGGGACGTTCTGAGCATTTCAGATCACCCTTGACCGGCAATACCCAGGCCTTTCAGCCTACCACACAGGGTGGCTGAGGGTGCAGGACCACTGGGAGGCCCAACCAGATTGGGGAGACTGTGAACATGGAGTCAGGACAAAGTTCAGCTTGGGCCAGAAATAGAGACCAGTCAGGCAGAGGAGGGGACATAGAAACAGAAGGGGAAGGAGACATGCATATTCAGGAGGGCTTCCTGGAGAAGAAGGTCAGGTTATAGGGTGAGAGAAAAAAGGAGAACAATATGGATACACCTTAAAGTAGAATTTCGGGGCCCTCCCTGATGGTACGAGGGGTTAAAGCACAGCAGTGTGAAGCTATCCACAGCACACTACAGCGTGAGTTCCATCCCTGACCAGGGAGCTGACCCACATGGCACAGCTGACCTCTCCTGTCTCCCCTCAGTGGTGTATTTCAGTCAGTCTGCCTGTTCTTCTCCCCACTCTGTCTCTGGTGAATCCTCTCATCCCCCATACCTCTGGCCTGTACCCCAGTTCTTGTATGCATACATATATAGATCTTAAAAAAGAAAGTAGAATTCCAAAGGCAAACAAGGTCAAAGTCCTTAAACCTCACGGGGACAGGTGAGAGGTCAGCTTGAGGCCAGAAAGTCACTAGATCACCCACTAGTGACAGATAACACACAACTGGTATCTGCCCGGTGCTAAGGGCTCACATCTGTGGTCCATCCGTTCTCACAATCGGCATTGTTCCCTCTGACAGGTGGGAGAACAAAGGCTCTGGAAGCTTAAACAATGAGGCCCAGGTACGTGGTCAAGGGTGATGACACCCGATCTGCACCAGACACCCCCAAGGGCCAGCATCTGAGCCAACCTACACACTGCAAACACAGACAGAGCAGGGGCCTGTCCTCAGAAAGTAGGCTGGCTTGGAATTAGTAGAAGCCAGGGCCACCCTCAGAGCCAAGCCTGCAGGGACCCCCAGGACCATCCAGGCCAGCTCTCTCATTTCCCAGGGGAGGAAATGGTGCGCTGCCCCTTAGCTGGCTTCATAAATTACTTATTTATCACATTGGCTTGTAGTCTTCATTCTTGAGGCGAGGGGGGTTTTGGTTTCTTTTGTTCAATGCTTTATCCCTGGAGCCAGTACCTGGTGTCCAAGAAATGTGTGGAGTGAGTGCATGTCACACAGGCAGTGGGTGGGTCTCCTCCTTCCTACGCGGCCCTCACAAAGTCCCCCAGTGGAACAGCCAGACGAGAGGAAGCCCGGGTCTCTGGTTGTGTCTATGCCTCGGCAGCAACATGGTCGTACGGGCCCCGGCTATTTCAGGGACTGGGGGTGCCTTCTCGAGCAGGAGTCTGGGGTTGGGCCATTTTTTGCTCTGGGCTGACCATACTCCACCAGAACACTGACCACCAGCAGAATCCTGATTCTCAGGCTGTCCCAGGTGAGGGAAGGGCCATCCCCTCCCACGTGTGTTCTTCTCTGGTTAGCTGAAGCGCCCAGGAGCTGGTCAAGAGCTGCCTCTGTGTGTTCCCCAAACCACTTGCACACACACCACTTCCCTCTGGCATACCATGGGTAAAGGGGTATGGAAAACTCAGCCAAGGCGGGGCACGAGTAGAAAGGGCAGTTTGGGGCTCTGCCCTGCCACTGCTTGACAGGGTGAGGCCAGAAAATCCTTCCTCACTCCTTGCAGTGTGCAGCTGTCCTGGGCCTAGGGAATTCCAGCTGTGCCCCTCCCCCACTGTCCACTGTCCTCCGTGGTCCTGCCTCCCGGTTAGGCTTCAACTCCCCCAGCAAAGGGAGGGAGGAGACTGCAAAGCAAACACAGATGCCTGCAGCTAACACCTGAACTGGCCGAGGAAGAATGCAGGCCAAGGCTGCAGTCCCAGGAAGGAAGGAGCTTCTGCTAACATCCCTGACACTGCTCACGGAGGACCCAATGGGAGGCTGTTCCCAGGTTATCACAAGGACAACAGCAGGAAGGATCAAAGCAAGATCTGCAGCAGAACTGCCTGCCAGAAAGGCCTAGGAGCGACGCTTCGAAGCGGCCTTCCCACGGGAGCGTGCTGAAGGCAGCGTGAAGGGGTCACAGGAGTGTTTGTAGGAGAGACTCCGTGAGAGGCAGGAGAGAACCCAGGCCTTGGGCTGGAGCCAGCGCAGCTCTCCAGAACCTGCCCTTGGAGGGGAAGCATGGCTGACACCTATCCTGGGAGCCAGTCTGGCAACCTGGGGCACCCTGTTTGCCTGAATGTACGGGATGAAAATTGAGTGGCACCTCGGGGCCCCAAGGACCACCCGACACGCGTCCCCAGCCGCAGTTCCACAGCCCGACAGACACACCGCGTGCTCCTCACACATGAGGCATACAGACCCAGGCCCTCCACAGGCCTCAGCAACAACACCGTCACGCACTCTCTGCATGCCCCCAGAAGGGTCTGGGGAGCCCCCCCCATATGCTGCGGGTGCGGGTTGGTGGGTATTTCATCCTCTCTTCATAGCCATCATTACCCCAGATCTCAGCGCCCCCACCACCACCACCAAGCTGGAATACTAATCCCATCAAAAACTGGGGTGGGGGGAATGGCTGCAGCCTAGATCTTGGCTTAATCTGGCAGAGGAGTGGGACATGAATCCTGCATCAGGTTAAATAGATTAAGCAGCGCTCCAGAGCCCCCACTCTTAGCCTGCTCCCTCAACCCCAAGCCCAGTCCTCCTGCTGGGTCAACCCTGTCCCCTCTCACAGCCCACACTCCCAACCCTGGAGCGACAACCCTGCCTTTCCCTTCCCCTGCTCACAGGGCTTCAGGTTCCCATGGCAACCTCATCCCCAGCTCCAGGCAGGAGATGAGCCACAGCAGCAGACAGAAAGGGGAAGTCTGTGGGGGTGGGGAGGAGACACAGACAGCAGGGGTGTCCTCAACCGCAGCAGAGGAGCCCGTGAGGGCAAAGCCAGGAGCCTGCTTGCAGGAGCCTTGCACACCGCTGAGGTGCCAGCGGCAGGCAGAGGCTTGGGTTTGATTCTGGCATGAGCGCCAGGGCCGCGCCCCGCCCCCACCTACGTGACTGCCTTCAGAGAGGGCTCTAACAGCTCTGATCTCCTTCCAGCAACAATTGCAGGGAATTTTATCCCTTTACTATCTCCCTGCCCCTCACCCTTTGCACTGGAACCCCAGGGAGAGAGAGCGGCTGGTGCCGATGGGAGCACCACCCACCCCATTGAGCGACCCAGCACAGTGGGGACAAACTGGACCAGACAAACTGGGCCGGGCCGGGCCAGGCGACAGGGGCCAGTGGTGAGATCGGGACACCCCAGCCCTAGCCTGGAGCAGGGTCCGGAGGACATCTGTTCTTTGTCCCTCCCAACAGCCTGTGCTTGCCCGTAGTTAATCATTCCAAGCACTGGACCCTGCAGCGATGCCCCACCCTACTCTTCAGCAGTAATAGCAGCTGCTGTGGGGGAGCCAGCCTGCAGCGACACTATCTTCCACGATCTCTGGGGCAGAGGAAGGGACCCAGCAGCCACCCAGCAAAGACGGGGCCCTGCGGGCAATCAGGCCACTGCTGGCAGCAGCTACAGACGCACAAAGCCACTTCCTGATAGACAGTGTCCTGAGTACATTCTCTTGGAATCTGCCAGAGCTTGGGGCTAGAAGGCAGGGGTTATCATGTATCCATTCCACAGCTAAAGAAGGCGAAGAGCCCCACGTCAAGGACGGAGACCCCTCCTCCTCCTTCAGCTGCCCGCTGGCCCCCAGTCAGAGCCTGGGGAAAGTTCTGTGTCCTGGGGAGGGTGGAGAACAAAGCACTTCACCCTTCAAACCCAACCTGTTTCCAAGCACAGCCATTCTGAGAGACCCCTGGGGTCTCACAGGCACAGTCGCCTTGAACTTGTTCTAAAGCAGGTGTCTCGAGTGTCCTGTGAAATACAGGAGAAGGGGCGTCTAGCTGAGGGTCCCGGGGTCACCTTCCGGCCTGGAGGGACACGAGGACAAGGAGACGCTGTACAGCTCCTCTCAGGCCTGGCTGTGACGGGCGGCCGGTCGGCATGTCCCCTCCCAGCCCTGTGTTAGCCGTGAGCCAGGGCAGAACTAGAGCGACCAGAGAGCCTGAAAGCACCGCTCCCCCATTCCACAGGCAACCTCGCCCCTTCCAGCCTCGGACCCCTTCAAAAACCATAGCTTTCTGTTCACAGAGGAACAAAAATACATCAACAAAAGCAACAAGGAGCCTTTGGTTTTACCAAAAGGGAAAAAAACCCACACCAGCCCCTACATCCTGCCTCTGACTCCCCTACTGGGAACACTGCCCAGGGACAGGCGGGGGGCTCCCTGTTAACCCAGTTTCTCACCAGCCCCCCAGCCTCAGCAGCTAAAATGGGGGATAGGAAGCAACAAGGAGGCATTGTTTGGTCAGAGAGAAGATTCAGCAGTCAAAAAAGATCAAGGCTAGACATTAGGAAGAACTTACCAGCCCTTGGGGGTGCAGACAAAATCAAAATCAAAGCTGGAACGTGCCCCGATGGCCACACATAAAAAGCAGTGAGCCTGCCAGAGTGGGCAAGGCAGAAAGCCTGGGCCTCAGTTTCCCCATTCTATAATGGCAGTGTTAGTAAGTAAAGGGAGGGATCCCTGAGGTTCCCCAAGTCCGTGACATCTCAGAGTAAGGCTCTAGGGGTAATTTGAGGCTGGCCACACTGAGGATGCACCTTTGAGCTTAACACATTCTTCCAATCCCAAATACATGCCACCCCAAGGTCCTGGCTGAGGGACTGGTCAGGTGAGCAGAACAGAGAGCCTCTCACATACTCATGCACTGGAGCCACCCAAGTCCCTGGCAGAGTGCCAGGAGAGGTCACCTGCCCCTGTGGGTCCTGAGCAGGAGGTTCTGCTGAGGAGGAAACCAGGCCTGAGGGCCATTAAGCAAGGCTAGAAATAGGGGGACAGTTGTCCCTCCCAAAGCCCCAAGATTTGGGGACCTGAGTGTCGCTGGACAATGGAGCCGAGGCGGGAGAAAACAGGAAGGAACAGAGTGGACACTCAGCATGGTGCCTGCCGGTGCTCAGCAAACCCTTGGCCTAGGCCCGCTGTCCCTGGGTGGGAAATTCTGAGCATGAGAGATTGAGGCTCAGACAGGCCAGCAGGGCATCCTTGCAGGCGGGCTCTGGCCGGGTTTACTCTGGAGCCCCCATGCCTGGCTTGCTGGGAGAGTCCACTGACCAGCAGATGCTGGCTGGGGGCACGTGGTGGCCAAGACAAGTTGCTGCCACAGCCTCTGGAGTGACGCACATCTGAAGCCACACGCTCTCCCCTGCCCCCACGCACCCAAGATAACATCCCATTTGGGCCAAAGGACGACTGGCCATGGCGGAGGCTAGGGGAGAGACCAGCCTCCTGCTTGGGCGGGAGCCAGGACAGAGACCTACATGGGGGAGTGTGGAGGTAAACTCTCCCTACTGCACGAGGTTGGAAGCAGCATCCAGAAAGGGGTGCTTCATCTTCTGTCTTCCCTTCAACACCCCCCTCCCTGCAGCCACTCCTCAACTCTACTTACTGCAACCTCACCAAAAGAAGGCAAGGAAGGGCCCTCCCTGGTGGCGCAGCGGGCTGGAGCACCGCACTGCGAAGCCAAGTCGGAGCTGAGGCTAAGCCAGAGCTGAGGCGGCTTCACTGCGAGTTCGATCCCTGCCCCGGAGGTGACCCACATGGCACAGCAGACCTCTCCTGCTCACCCGCTGCTCCCCTCAGCAGTGTACTTTGTCCATCTGCCTGTTCTGCTCCCTACTCTGTTTCTGGTGAATCCTCTCGCCGCCCCTGCACCTCTGGCTGTACCCCAGTTCTGTATGAATAAATAAATCTTGGGGGAAAAAAAAAAAAAAAGAAGGCAGGGAAACTACTCTGGAACTTTGGTATCAGGCACAAAGCCTCATGCCCCAGCACCCACCAGGATCAGGACTCAGCCAGACTTCTGCCTGGAAGGTGGAGGCTTAGAAGCTGCTGTTGGGGGGTGGCAGAGTGCCCAGAATCTAGCCTGTGGTACAGGAATCAAGGGGTTAACTGCCCTAGCTACTAGCTTTGCTGAACCCTACCCCACTCCCCAAAGCAGGGAGGAAGGCAGAGAATCAGGGCTTGTGTGAGCCCTTAAGAATTCGAAGAATGTCCCATTTCCCTGGGGGGGGAGGGGGGAAGGACCAGTGGAAGCTAATAAAAGAGAAGGGGCAGCTGGAGGAGGAGGGGGCCAGAATGTGACAATCCTACCCCAGGCACGTTTCCTGGTGCCCTGGTGCCCATCCCGCCCAGGGAGAGCATTCCCATTGCTTCTTGGGCGAGATTGTATCAGTCTTCCAGCACCCAGCACAGGTTGGCATAAAGCAACCAGCAGGCAATAAATGCTTGGTCAAATCCCCAAGGAGATGAGGCTGTGTTATTGGCAGGGTGCAGTACTGGACAGTGACCTTTCAAAGGGGTTTAAGGCCCCCAACCCTTTGAGTCCCAAAGTCCCCCTCCTGGGATGTACTTCAGCTGCAAAAAGCCTTCTGACTAAGGATTCAAGAAAAGCCTGGACTTCAGTCAGATCCTGAATCTTTCTGAATATGGATGTTGCCCCCTCCTTGAAGCGAGGTGACCTTCCAAGTCCCCCCAATAGGAGAAGGGCAGCCAGCATGAATGTGCCTTGCTGTACACAAGGTCAGCCTGAAGGTGGAAGGTGGTGTAGTCTCTGGAACCAGGGGTGAGGTGGGGGTATCCCTCTGGGATGGGGAACCCCATCTCTTCCATCTTCTCACAGCAGAACAGAGCCCAAGCTAACGCCAAGAGAGTCACAATGTGTCCTCACCAGGCGAGAGACCAGCCCTATGTGTTCCCTCCCCGCCTCCCTCTCAAGAAATGAACACTAGATGGGCTGCCACCAGAAGACCCCAAACCTAGGCCCAGATGCTCTGAGGGGCAGGTGAGAGAAGAAAATAGTCAACCGCTGGGGGGTAGTGGACAGAGAACACAAATGGCAGACACAGGCAGGTCACTTGTTCGAGAAAGCCCACTGGCTCCCTTCCTGCCATCAGACCGCGACGTGAGAACACGGAAAGAGCAGGCCTGATTTAGCACCCAGAGGCTGCGTCTGACCTAGCTTCCCGCCAGCCATGCAATCTTGGGAAAATCCCTTCCCTTCCCCAAGCCTCAGCTCCTTCGCTAGCTCACTGGCAGCTAAGTGACGGCCGATGGCCCACAAGCAGGCCAGGCTGAGGGCTGCACGGCCATGTCACCTTGGGATAGAAGGAAAGATGGACTGAGAGGGTCCCGGGCCCCCCAGGCCCCCGCCCGAGCAGGACTTACGCGTTGCAGTAGGGCTTCTTCTCATAGCCCTTGTAGTTCTTCATGTTGAGTGTCATCTTGCAGGTCTCGCAGTGAAAGCATGCTTTATGCCAGAACTGGGGACAGAGGCAGAGAGGACACCTGTCAGGCACCAGCGCTTCGGGAAGGGATGCTCCATCCCAGGGGCTGACCCAGGCCCATGACTGTGCCAGAACAGTCACCCGGAGGAGCTGGGGACTTCTCGCGTCACAGGTTCTGCTGCAGTCAGTTCTGGTGCTGGCCGACACTCCCCCCTCCCCACATCCCACCAGCCAGCCACTTGAACTGTCAGAGGGAAGAAGGGCAGACAGGAAGCTGAGTGGGGAAAGGCGAGTTACACTGACAGCAGTCCCCAGAAGGCTGGCCGCACCTCAGCCACTCCTCAGCCCTGGGCTGGAGGAGCCTCATTGCTTATGCAAAGCTGCACCAGGGTTGCTAAGAAGCCGCTGCTGGACTCCAAGGGGCTCAGCCTTGGGAGGGCCCAGAGCACCCCAGCATAGAACCCAGATGCTCCTGGCTCCTACAGCAGAGCCTCAAGTCCCACAGGAGCCCCAGGTGATGCTCCAGCTCTGGTACACTCCACTGTCCATGGGACCCCCCAGAGGAGAGGCCCCAAACGGTTACACCTTTTCCACCCTCCTCCAGGGCAGGTGCACACCCTGCAGTTGGCTCCCTGCAGACGCACACTCATACCTGCCTCTCTTGGGATTGCTGAGGATTAAATGAGCCCTTGGCACAGCACCAGGTACCCCCCAGTACCCAAACGTTAGGTGCAGGCGCCGTCAGTTGAACCTCAGCCACGGGGCTCTGGAGCTCCCACTGGAGCCTGTGTGTGCTGGGGAGCAAGTAGGACTCCCCTGTGCTAACCACAGCTAGATGAGTATGAGCACCACGGTGAGCCTCCGGCAAAGTCCAGACAGGTGGTGACGGAAAGGGAACAGCGCAGAAGGGTCCCATCCTAAGAAACACACTGCTGGCCCTCCCTGGTGGCGCAGCGGGTTAAAGCCCAGCACTGAGAATCTAAAGCCGCTTCCGCATGAGTTCGATTCCCGCCTGCCCCGGAGGTGACCACATGGCGCAGCAGACCTCTCCTGACCCGCCCGCTGCTCCCCTCAGCAGTGTACTTCGTCGATCTGCCTGTTCTGCTCCCCACTCTGTCTCTGGTGAAGCCTCTCACCGCCCCTGAGCCTCTGGCCTGTACCCCAGTTCTGTATGCACAAATAAATAAATAAATCTTAAAAAGAAAAAAGAAACACACTGCTTGCTCTGGCCAGCCCTGTGGCCGAGGCAGGTCTGCCCAGACCCAGGCTGAAGCCTGCCCATTAGGTCCAACTTTCCAGACCCTAGAGCTCAGGCTGCCGGGCTGACCTGTCTCTGCCCCATCTCTGAGCAGTTGCAGGGGGTTCCCCAACCCTCAAGAAAGGAGGGCAGAAGCCAGGGAGGATGTCCAGCCACTGGGCTGATTCTGAGCCCTCGGTCCAGGAGCTCCAAAACACATTTCCTGGGGGTAGGAGAAAGATGATGGGGTAGTGGCACCGGGACTTCGGAGGTGAGTCCGTGAAGCATGTGCACATGTTAGGGGTGAAGCTGTACCTCAAGCAAGGGGTCCTTCTGGGAGAGGGGACAGAAAAAAAGACAGCTGAGGTTGGGATACCATCTCCCCACCTGGACCGCTATCACCGGGGGTCCAGGAGGTCACTGCCTGCTGATGGCACTTTCCCATTCCAGGAGGCCTGAAGGAATCTCCAGTGGCTGAGCAGTAAACGGAGCAATAGAAACACTCTTTGGGGAAGAAGGCCTGATGGAAGTCTGGAAGCAAAGGGATGGGCCCGACTAAGCTTGGCCCTCACCCCAACCCTCGCCTAGCCTAGAGCCTAGCCCAGACTCCTCGCGGTGCAAAACCCCAATTCATTCACCCACAAGAAAACTAAGCAGGGAGTCCCTAGTCCCACCAGGCCCCCAAAAGCGGCACCCCTCTCCCTCCCCCGTGCCTGGGAGGCCTGGCACAGTGCCCCAGCAGCCCTGTCACCACCCAGTCTGCTGGCCTCTGCCTGCTCAGCCGCACAAGCCCCTGCCTGGGCCCCGCCTCCACCACCCCCGCAGGGGCCTGCCAGGAAAAACATTCTCTGGAATCCAGACCATGACCCACTTTCACACACACACACACACACACACACGCACGCACGCACACACGCAGGAATACGCACTGTCCTAGGACGGGGGGCCTCCAAAGTCACTTCTTGACTGACTGAGGGGAGACAAAGGGGAAGAGACAGACACCCCTACTCTAGCAGATGGCCAGCTCCCCACTCTGAAGCCAAGCGCCTTGGGAAGGAGGCAGAATACATGCTGACCGGGTGGAAGTACAGGGCCAATGCCTAATCCGGGGGCCCGCAAGACCCCTCCAGGCTGCCATGTGGAGGAAATGGGAGGGTACCTATTCCCATCAGCAGCCCCCCCAACTCCCATCCTGAGACCCCTTGCTCTTAGCGAGACACAGAGCCTGGCTCATCTATTCCCTCAGCGGGTTGAGTGGCAGTGAGATGCGCTTCAGGCTCACTCCTGAGACTCAGTCTCCACCTCTGTAATACGGAGCTGAGAGCGGAGACCTCAGAGACACAGCGTGTGAGCAGATGCAGCTCTGGACAACCTGGTAGCTGCGCGGGCATCATGCCCCTTGCCCCACTCTCTAGAACAGAGTTCCCAGGTTCATGAAAATCCAGAAGCAGGCCACTGTGCCTGTCCTCTGTGGGGCAGGAAAGCTGAGGGCAGAGCGGCAGGTTACGGGGAGCGAGGCGGGGTCAGGGGCCTCACGGTGAAACTCCATTCCGGTCTCAATGGGGGGGGTCTGGTGAAGGAAGTCAATACAGCCCCACTTCGAGCTCATCTGCCTCCTCCCCCTGACCCCAAAGCCAGGGCAAGTTTCCCCTTCCTCAGAAGCCCCAGGGAAGATTTCAGAGAAGTGTCCCTGGGACTCAGGAGTCCGGGAGCAAAGTTCACCTATAGGCAGGCAAGTGCCCCCTGCGAATCCTTCTGGTGCCCTGAAGTTCAGGGTCACCTGGTGACACACACAAACGACCTCTGGTGCCATCAGCACCCTCTCAGCCCCTGTCCCAGGCTCCCTCGCCTGCAGTTCCAAATTGCAACACAGGACACAGAACACCCACTCCACAGAAAGGCAAGCGGAGACCGAAGCGAAGCGGCAGGAGGCAAGATCTGAGCAAGTGCTGCCGAGTGACTCTCTTGGGTCTCATGGAGTGGGGGAAGGGCAGCTCCCAGCTCAGAAGGGAGGATGTGGCCGCGCAGGTCACTGTGGCATCCTAGGCATCCTACCCGTGTTTGGCACCCAGGCAGCCTGGGGTGGCCCTGACTCCCAGTGAGCCGGTGAACGCCTTTCCCTCCCTCCCTCGCTGTAGCTCCGGGTTACAGTTTCTGTTTCTCCAGGGCCAGAGCCAATACCTGTCAGCCCCTCCCTGACCAGGTCACCAGCCCAGCTGGTTCCCGGCTTACAAGTGTTGGCCTTGGTTCCAGGCTCAGGAATTCTGGGGGAGCCCCAGCTCCCTCCAAGACCCCAGGCCAAGACCCTGAGCATTTCTCAGGTCAGGACAGGAAGGAGTGGGAACACCCTGTGGTGATGAAGAGTACTTTTTATAAGCACACCAGACAGAAGAACTGAGTACAAAGAATTTTACATTTTGCTTCCAGCTCCAGTGGAGAGGGGAAAGAGCCACGTGGCCTGACTGAGTTTATAGGGTTCAGGATTTACAAGAGCAATCACATCTGTCTGATCAAACTGCTATGAAGACTGAGTCTGGCACCTTGCAGTAAGGAGCTCTAACACTAGTACTAGATGGTCACAGGTGCCTGTGGACACGCTCAGCTGTGGCCAGGAAAATGGAGCACCATGGCAAGGCTTGTATCCAGCTTCCTTCTATCTTGCTGCTGCTCTGTGTGTGTATGTGAGAGAGACAGAGAGAGAGAAAGAGAGAGAGAGAGCGCACACACGCAACAGAGCACAACAGACAACCAAAGACAGAGCTCTCCTAATGGGGAATATTCCAGAACTAGCCACTGGCCAATCCTCTCCACCTGTTTTCATACATCCCAAAAAACAAGCCAGGGGAGAGGGACGTAGCAAAATTCTTAACCATGCAGGCCCTGAGATGAAAATGCTTCCCACAGGGTCTGGGACAAAACTTTCCGCCTGTCTTCAAATATAAAGGACTTCGGTGAAATAAGGGTGGGGATGCAACCTCTCTCTTTGCAAAGGTCCTGTGGCAGCTGCCCTTCAAAGTGCAAGACACTAAGTAGATCCCCAATAAACAGTTGTTAAATGAATGAACAAATGAGGTCATCCTAGTTGCCCCCACCCCACATCCCAGAAATCCTCCTTGGAAGCAAATCTCAACCTCCTTCCTCAAACACCAACATCAGCTTTATATATTTATTCAGCATGCAGAGCACACCGGAACTGCAGGTTGGGGGCAGGGTAGCTGTCTATCACATGTGATATGGCCTTTACCCACCCAAGTCTTTGGGAGATAAGGCTCAGGGAGGAGAAAAAGGCTGACACCAAGGTCAAATATGTATCTCAGGTGACATTGTGTGCTCTGTGCATAGTGAAACTACAGTGAAATGCATGAGTCTTCTGACTCTCCCATGGTAAGCGGGAAGCCTTGGGAAGCTGGTTAGCAACCACGCCTGTGGGACTGAATGTCCCCCTCTCCCAAGTCTCAGCCCTCGGGGCACCAGTTCCCCAGTCTAGGTGCCTGTCTTTACCTCCTTCAGGGGCTTGGGAGAAATAAGGCCAATAGCTGGATATTCCAGGCCTCTCATTCAGTGCAGCAAGGCAAGGTTTTCCCAAGGCCATCTCCTGTATGGAGAGCTCTTGAAAGAGGGAGAACTCGCCCCTCCCACTTCCCAGGGTAACCCCCATCTGGATGCCCTCTTTCAACTGGGGCAAAAAGAACAGGATCCCTGTCCTTCCCTCCCCCAATACCAGGAGCAAAGGTCCTGGTAGGTCTTTACATTGGGGGCCAGGTGTGGAGCTAGACAGCGTAAAAGGCAGCAAGCCACAACCCCTCCGGGCACTTTGGCAGGCACTTTAGTCCACTGCCCAACCTCCAAGGAAATGACATCATCACACCCATCTGACCCAGGCGAAACTAAGGCCTGGAGCCATTCATAAAGCCGGGGAAGCAAACTAGGAACTACAACCAAGTCCCCAAGTCCTGGGCTCACAAGCCCTCTGTTGTGGATTGCTTCTCCTTTATATGTGGCTGAACGTGCTTCCCGATTCATGGCTATGGAGAAGGGGACACAGGACTTCAAGATGCAGAGGCCGAAGTTCCTTCCACTAGGCAAGGGCAAAAACCCCAGTGTGCAGAGGGCACCTCCAACCTCGAGTCCTGCCCTCATGTGGCCGGTACAGTCACTGGGGAAGGTCAGCACCCACATCCCGCAAGCCAACAATATGGCCCTTCTCTCCTCCTGCCCAGTCAAGCCCAGGAGGGAGAACAGGAGTCCCATACACGCTGTTTCTCCCAGAGCAAGTTCAAACCCCACCCTCTCACCCTGACTCAGAGGCTAAAGATCACTGAGGAAGCTCCAAGCCCAAGGGGGAGGGGAGAGACAAAGTACCCAAAGAACTCGCTTTTCACTAACAAAACTGGGTTCCAGGAGGGCCATGAACTTGACCCCAGAGCCCTACACCCCTCTTCCATCCCATGCCTCTCACTGCTGCCAGTTTACAGGCCAGGGTGGGAATATTTGAACTTGAAGGTGAATAAAAGGCACGATGAGAAAGGAAAAGAATCACATATGCCTCTCCCCCAGACGGGGAAGGGGATGCAGGGGAGAGGAAGCTTCTGCCCAAAAATCTTACAGAGCTTTAAAAAAGACCGGATCCTAACCCCACGGCTGGAAACACCCAGTCCTACTCTCCACCCCTCTCAAAGTATAATGGCAACCAGATGAACTAGTCCAACAGGGGGTGGGGGGCACACGCATAAGGGCCCCCAAGGGACCGTGAATTTCCAGAAGGCCACCTTCCCCTCCCCCCAAATACCTCCCCCTTTTCTTGGCTTCCCCTGAACTTAGCCAATCCCACCCTCCATTGGGGAGCCCTGCTTTGAAAAGTTAGCTCTTTGTTCTTCAAGCCGGGCTTAGGTTTTTGAGCACAATTTCAGATCATGTCTGCAAATCACCCCCCTCCCACACACACCTCCTACTCCAGAGCCCTAGCCCGCCGGGCTCCGACTGGGCAGCCCGGAGCCCGGAGTTGGCTTCATATTTGGGGTGGGGGCTGGGAAGCTGCAGAGAGGTCTGTTAGTCTATTAACCACTGACCCACCAAGGGGGCTTCCGGTGGTCAAAAAAAAAGGTGGGGGCGAGCAATCTGGCAGTGGCGCTCCAGTCCTCATCCGAAGCCAAGCTCTCCAGATGTAACGTTCACCGGCGGAGAGCGGTCTCCCGCCCAGGAAGTCGGGCCATTTACTGCGGGAGCAGACGGTTTCCCCAGGCCCCCCAACCTCTGCCCCGCCCCCCGGTCCTCTCCCCACCCACCCACCCCAGAGCCCCGCTTCCGCCTACTTGGCGCTCGGCTTGGCGGGGAGAGGGAGCGGCCGGCTTCTTTCACTCCCCCGGTCCTAGGGGGCGGGACTGCACCCCTAACCTTCCCCACCCCCATCCCGGGCCCTGGCTGCCCTGCTCCTCTCCGATCTCCCAACCCTGGGCACACAGCCCACTCTTCTCCAACAGTGGCTACTCGCCACGCGTGGACTCCTTGCCTGACCGCGGATCCCCAGGCTTCCAGAATGGGGTCTATCCCCACACCCCAAGACACCGCCCGCCCTCCCTCCTGGGATCGCGGGGATGAGGCAGCAAAGACCCAGCCCCTCTTTCCTCTTCCAGTCTGGAGCACCGCTCCGGATGGCAAAGACGCGTCTCCGGGTCCCGGGGCTCACCTTATCGAGACAGTTCACCTTCTCCGTGGGGTACACGATCTTGCCGCACCGGGCGCAGTTGGGATTCATGGCTCCGGGAAAGGCTGGCGCGGGGACGCCCAAGATCGCGCGCGTTCTCTTCTCCCGGAGCGAGCAGGCGGGAGACAGCCGCGGCTGCAACTGCACTGGCGGCGGCGGCGGCGGGAGCTAGGGAACTGGCCTCCGCCTCCGCCCTCCTTCCCCTAATAAACACGGCGGGGAGGAGGGGCTGCCCGGGCGGGGACGCGCCGCGAGCGCGGGCAGGGGCGCGCG